ATGGTTGAACTGGATCATCGAAGGTCAGAAGCAAAGACATTGGTTAATAGAATGGGATTAAATACATAAAGGATATTTGTGTTGTTTAACATTTAATTATTGCAGGTTTGCGTCATATTCTGAGTTGCATTATTTTTATTCATTTTGAGGAATACTGAATCTGTGTTTTTTTGTGTGTGAGTGAGATGAATTAATGCATATTCATATTTATTTTAGAACTACAGTAGCATCTTCTGATTTCTCAACATTGGGACCGGAGAGCTGTCAATCAATAAATTGAAAAAAAAAAAAGTAACTTGCGTTACTTATTTGAAAAAGTAACTCAGATATTCTCTTGTAAATTATAAAGTAAGGCGTTACTTTACTAGTTACTTGAAAAAAGTAATCTGATTACGTAACTTGCGTTACTTGTAATATATTACCCCCAACACTGTTCATAACAACATAGAGATCCTAAAATTACAAAACCATTTTGCCCCAGCCAGGACTTACTCACTCTCGCACACACGCATCTTTAGAAACTATTACATAACATTTTGCGTGCTCAAGTCTTTTTCGGGATCCCGGTTCCCTCCGGTCGTGTTTACGGTGCACAACCATAGACTGTATAAAAACAGTGCACAACCTATCCGGGAACCGATCACATGACTGACTGCAATTCCCATCAGTCCTCTTGACGCATGCGCACGCCGCGTTGTCTGGCAGTGGTAAACAGACGTCAGAAGGGAGTCTTCACCTCGAGTCAAAACAAAACAAAACAAGAAAGATCTACGAGGAATAGCTGTTTGTCTATCTCCATTAACAGCAGAAGAGAAGCGATTTCGCGGTAATTTCAACAGACCACCAAGTTATTGAAGAGAAGCGGGTTTCTTCGACTTTTACCGGAGGGATATTAACTCGTAAAAACTGGAGTTGGCTAACTAGGTGGCCATCTAGTTACGCTCTCCGTAGTAAGACTACGCTTTCGAGTTTTGTCCCAGAGGCCGGCGATCGAGTTCAAGAAGCGGACAGGCGGCGGCTTTTTGTCTTTTCGGAGAATACATCGACCGTAGTGGGATACGGTAAGCCTTCTACGGAACGGATTAGTTCGGCGCGAGCATCGTGTGTAGCTGCGTCTCGAGGAACATGGCAGATGGTGACACGCGCCAGCACACAGCGTGGAGGACCGTGCAAACTTGAACGACAATAACACAGATTTTTATTGTATGGTGAACCCCGTAAAACTACCCGTTATGATCGAGCACTCCTGTAAGATATTGTCTTGGTCTTTTTTTAAAATGTAAAATTTTGATCGTTATGAATTAAGTTTTACGTACGGCTTCTTTTGGCGATTTAACAATCTTGCTTAACGCATTTGAGTTGGGATGCACTTAATTCGTTTTAAACCTATGTTTTTTTCTTTGTTTTTAACTTCGTAATGGATCCCGATTAATGAAATTACGTGGCTTTGTTGACTTCGACAGGCAGCTGTAACAAATCATTCCCATTCACTTGAATTAGTTTATAAGGACAATATTCTTACATGATATAGAAATACACTCAGTTTACAAGAAAGAGTAGTGTACGACTTGATGCGCTCATATTAAGGTGGTTTATCGCTCTTTTTGTAGAGTTTGTAAGCTGGTCTACTCCGGTTTTTTTTTCTTGGTCTAAACTAAAGTCTAATTGCGAAAGCCAATCAACCATTCGCTGCTATAATAGGAGCCGGTGGGAGGTGGTTATTTTAGCAATTACAGCGCATGTTATGATTGGTTTTGCGATGTCACCTACTTAACTGTCTCAAATTAGATTTTTTTCTGTAAAAGAGTGTTTAATTATCTACAAAAGTTCATAGATCATCCCTTGTCACTCCAGCGTGTCCTCTTTTCCTGTGGTTTATCTCAGTAGCTGCTCTTGACAATCCAGCTGTTTTGATGTGTAGTGAATTTCCTTTGTTCTTTCTCCATTAAACAAAGAGACCCCCTTCTATCCTCGTTTGCTCTATGTAAATCAGAAGGTTTATGTTAGTTACTATTAAGGAGATTATTTGGCCCCTTTAATCTCCAATCTGAGGATTAACTGACACTATATTGGTGTGTTCAGATTATTACGAATGTGCTCCGTTACACTCCAGACAGTCACGGTTAAATTTAGTCCGGATAATTTATACTGTAGTGTAATATATTAAAGAAGAAAAAATCGTTTCTAAACAAGATTATTTTACTTTTGGTATAAATAGTCGTACTCTTACTTTTCATCGCCCATTTAATCGTGTTTAAAAAAAAAAAAACTTCGCATCAAAACTAGTTCATTGAAATCCAGCCTTCCTCTGAAATTATCTGGATTGCATCGCACAATGGAGGAAGAAAATGTACCCCCGATTGACCCAGATTTTGAGCCGCAGAGCAGACCGAGGTCATGTACATGGCCGCTGCCTAGACCCGACATCTCAGTTGTCAAAGCTGGGGGGGGCGACGGCTCAGAGTCTGCTGCTGGAACTCCGCCCACCGAGGAAGATAAACACGAGCCTCAGCCAATCATATCCGAGCCTGAGAAAGTCGCGGTCTTGGAGGGCGGGGTTATCGCTGGAGTGGGCGGAGCCACGCCTCGAAAAGGCTCTTCCAGGCGTAATGCCTGGGGTAATCAGTCCTACGCAGATCTGATCAGCCAGGCGATTGAAAACTCGCCAGAAAAACGACTTACTCTGGCGCAGATCTACGATTGGATGGTAAAAACGGTGCCGTATTTTAAGGACAAAGGAGACAGTAACAGTTCTGCTGGGTGGAAGGTACGTCTAAACAAGATTAAGAATTAATAAGAACTATAATCAGGGTTTGAAATGAACTTCTCCACTCACCTGCCAATTTGGTTACTATAATTTTAAATTACTGGCCATTCAGAAAAAAAAAATGATCAGAAATAAATTAGAATTTGCCTACTAAAATCAAGTTACTGACCATTCAGAACTTCTACTAGCCAAAACAAAATTATCAAAAATAAAACGCATTATCAAACTCAGAACCTTTTTTTATTCAGTAGTCAACATTTGAAGTGGAACAAAAAAGTTAATCAAAGTTGTCCTAAGACAAGAACGGAGAACAAGTTTGATGAAAGGTTTTGATCCACTTCAAATGTTGACTACTATATATATTTGTATAACTGGGCGGCCTATAGGACACTCCTGTAAAAGAGATTTTTAATCTCAGTGAGGTTCTTTCCTGGTTAAATAAAGGCTTAATAATATATTGTTTATCAGTTTGAAATATTTTTACACTGTGAAGCCTCTCCATTGACATCCATTAAAAAAAATAAAATAAAAAATAATGATAATTCATGCCCCAAAATATAATTTCAAGACACTGAATAGTGACACATGAAGGTCTTGGATATGCAGCATTTATCAAATGAGAATATAAACCCCCCCAACCCCAACAAACTGACTTGCAAGTTCACAGCATTAAAGGGTTAGTTCACCCAAAAATGAAAATTAGCCCATAAATTACTCACCCTCAAGTCATCCTAGGTGTATATGACTTTCTTCTTTCAGACGAATCCAGTCGGAGTTATATTAAAAATTGTCTTTGATCTTTCAAGCTGTTTAATGCCACTCAGCGGGTGTTGCATGCCTCAGTCCAAAAGAAGTTAAATAAAAAGCGCCCATCCATAAAAAAAAAAA